ACAGTTGTACAGCTCTCGTCTAGTCTAGTCTAGGTGTTTTGTGGCATCCCCACAGCTCCGTAACTTCATCTGCTCAACACCTTGCATCCCGAGATTACTGATTCCGAGGCCTCAATACTGCCATCGCAATTCCCAAGATAGCAACAACCGCGCCTACCAAAGTAAACGAAGACAGATTGACAGTTAACGACGAAATACGCTTTACGGAGGACAATCTTCAAATATTTAAAATGGCCCCGTCACAAAGTGGACGGCTTCATTCCACAGTATTTCCCAGTTTCAATTTGAATGTCATTCATGCTGTTCGTTGTGCGGAGGATTTATTTCTCAGTAAACCAGTTCGGTATTTCTAACAGGCAAGGCCATTTTGGAACAAAGCGCGCTTGTGATTCGACGGTATGGCCGCACTGATAAATGGGGCAAATTAGACCTCGTGAGCGCGTTGGTATTCCCCAGTGCATGACCTCGGCCTTGTTTCGAAATGGTTCATTTCGCACATGTACTAATGTGATTTTGTCTTAAAAGTCTTAATGGACTCTCCAGGCTTAAAACAAGAAACAGACAGCTTAATAGCGCTTCAGGTGAAGTGTTCAAAGAAGAAGTACCGCGGCTTTGCTACAACACGTTGTTTTTTTTATCTGCATCCCGTGAATTTACGGAGTTAGGAAAGTTGAATGAATTTGTCTAGATGAGCCACGAAACACGCTAACCGTGCTTCATCAAAAGAAAATATGACAATGGCCAGCCGTCTTTCTTTTCTTGGAGCAAAGGAAACCAGTAAGCTGAGTCCGGGTATAGTCAAGCTAATGGCATAGACTGTGCACCCACTAAGTCACGTGACTATATTGGCCAGGGTGCTGAACACCAACAAACATGGCGTCCACCCACGGCAGAGTGTGTCAAAAGTGTTATTTATCAAAAATAAAGCCGATGGTCGGCAAAAGTACTCACAGATTACGATTTGATTTGCTGAGTACTTCACCAAAAGTTGGCTTCAGTTTTTTTGAGTAGTAAACAAAACCTCTGACGTAGTTTGCTGTGGGAGGATGCCATGTTTGTTGATGTCGAATGACCATTGTAGATCAAGTGAATTAAACGGCGCAATCGATCTGTTATTCCAATGCATTTCCTCCGTACTGATGCCGTCAGTATAAATACTTCGTTTGGTACCTGGCTCAATGGCATCTGAACACCTTTCTCAGATTATTCATGGTTAATCACGCCCTTCTGCCACACAGCAGGCGGCGTGCTGATCCTTTTTGATCGAAAACTGGAACAGCCTTCCCTCTTTTGTGCAAAATATGGTGCTGGAAAGTTCTGCCTCAAACCCTCGAACTGGTCTGTATAAGCACCCAGGGACTAACAAAGAATGCGTGAAGATTTTAAAGAAAACTTGTCTATTGCAATGGTTTAAAAATTTTGATTTCCCATAAGTTTTCTGGTTTGAGGAAAAGGCGATCTGCCAAACAGACTGTATTCATGACTCGGCCATCTTGAATTAAAAGCGCATTGAATGTTTCCTTTTCGGACCCTGAGAATAAAAAAAAACAGCGACAAAATCATGCCGGTTTTTGTTTTTAATAATTTAAAAAAAATGAAAATAACATACTTAAATATTCAAAAGCCACATTACAAGATAAATTAAAAGTGGAGTTTGGAAACCAGCAAAAGTCTAGCATGCGCACCCCATTAAGCATAATAGACTGAATATGACAGATTCAAGGAACAAGACAAATGCGACGGTTTCCCAGTAAAGGTCTTTTCCCAAACTCAAATTTTAGGCTGGACAGTCCTATACGGTCTGATTGAGATACGGGTACGTGCGTATACTAACCTACTAGTAGTACTAAGTACAAAGCAGTCCGTGCTCCCGCAATTGCTGCATCCACCTGATCGCTGCTTGGATTGTCGTACCGGCAAAGATTCACGAAGTGCTCGCAGTTGCTTTTGATGAGATTATAATCAACAGCTACTCTCTCTCGGTGCATTTTCTTTGCCCTTCTCACAACAGCGTCAGCAGACAAAGGAGTTTTCGCTTTGTCCATAGAGTTGTTGATTCTCACTTTGCCCAACGTGCCCAGCACCGCCCGAATGGAGTCAGCTCGTACCTCGGGCTTGCTATTTGCAGAAACCGCACTGCCTGACGTCTTCTTCTTGGAGAAGGCCGCCCCTCCTTCAAACATCCCGAAGTGAATGACAGCGTGCTCCATCCCATTGTATTCACCGACGTATATACCCCAGTGTGCATACCATTCACCTGCCCGGCTGAACTCCAGTCGATCCCCCGGGAGTACCGTCCTTTCCAAGTCATTCATGTCTTGAGCATTAGGCTCGTGCCAGCGACCCACCATCCCAAAATGGTTGTTGCTAGCCATCCTTGTCCGGATCGACGTTGGCTCAACAGGATTGCCGGCAAGCAATGTACTCCAGCACGCGACTGCTAAATGCAGGGGAAACGTGTCGAGCAAGTGCGATATACTCAAGCGGCAGACGGATTGTTACGCCAGGAAATCGGTCGATCTTCCTCACGTCTGCTTTAATTTGAGGTTACATTATATACTTTTTTTAAGCACACTTTCCATAAACATACAGATGATGCCAAAGGGGTGCTTGAACTCGGGAATCCCCTGAAGAATTCCGCAATAGTTGTTTATTGCGCAAACTGGAAATTCCCAGAAATACGGTACGTAAATATGGCGTTTAGTCTGGTTGCATGATCCAAACGCATGTCCAGAGCAGGCATGACCCTAACGGTCAGACTGCTTATGCCCGCCATTTTTGTTCCGCAGAAGACTTCTATTTCAGGTGTCCCAATTATTTATCAATCAGAATTGTTCTGAGTGATTTTAAAATATTTATACATAATTACACGCTTTTATGAAATGCAAAGTGCAAACGAACATTTCACCGAGTTATCAGTAACAGATTGGGGTCACAAAATGGATAGTTTGGTTGCTTTTCACAGTGTCAACAGTGAGGATTGACGCTGGGCGGCATATCCAGAGAGGGGAAATAATCGGGGGAGGGCGAGATATCTTAAAGTGCCTTTTATAAAGGGTGAGCTTGTAAGACTTGGTATAGGGCTTTTTACAGGCTTCGAGAAAGAAGGGAAAAAGTCGGGAAATTGTTCTTAAATTTACATATATAAAAGCATACACCGAAATTGCACCCATGTAATGGTCAATAGAACAATATCGGACTTCAATATGTGATTCAAAGGGTTATCATTGCAGGGCAGTAGTATTGTGCAGTAGTTGGTGGGAGAACTTACTGAGGATTTTCCCGGTCAAGAGTCTCTGACGTGTAACAACAAAGACTGTCCCGTCGGTGTGCAACATAAAAGCATTGCATTAGGGTGGAACGGCAACCCCGTTTGAGATCACACTGGCCGGCATTTTCAGCAAGATATGGGACGGTCCAGAGAGAAAGGCCATCGACTTTCTGTTGGTCATTGTTTGATCGGCATCTCAGGAATCCTTTACAGACTTCTAGGGCGGATGCGTTAGGTAACAATAGTGTAGAGTGTGTATAGTGATTGCACAGGTTGGGGGATACCCCTCCGTCCCATATCTTGCCTGGTATACCGGTCGGGCGTGTCTTTATTTACAACTGTCGGTTTAGACATGAACGGAATGAAAGTGTCTGGCAGAATGTTATCATCGACATTTGCAGTACACTCTAAACAAGGGAACCTAGAGTTGGATATTTCTAAACACTTTTGTACTCAGTTTTTTTACATGATTAACCGTGACACGTTCTTTTTAATGCGTTCAGGAATGTGTTTAGATGCTAAGCCGATTCCAGAAAGCTGAACACGTATACCATAGAAAAGTGCGTGCAAAAGACTATAGTGTTTAAATTCTAAACGTTTACAGTGCTCTTCCACCCCATGACTGCAATACAACTAAAAAGCACACATTGCGCAAATAATAAAGAAAACTATAATTCAGAAATTCTACAAGATTACTTCCTACCGGCAAATGCTAGCTAAAAAGAGTCGAAGTTGAATAAATATAGACAGAAAAAAATGAAAATATGCATAATTCAGAGCAACACCCAGAAAATGTAAGCTCTAAACCTCTCAAACAGATTGCAATCATAAACGGGTCGGTTTTATCATGACCTGAAATTAACAGAGAATAGGCCCAAGTCAACAGTCTAAACCAGGGCTAATCGCAAAAGAACAACTAGGCCTACTGTATAATGCAGTAATATAGCACATAAGCTGGTTATAATTTAAAACACTTGACACCAGCGGCAAGGTTCAACGAAATGGGATTTCCCAGGCTGCAAATGCTGTGCTTTGCGCAATCTTTTTGGAAAAGTCCCTCGTTCCTTCAAGTTGATAGTCTTTTAACAACAAGCATACCATTGATAAGTACACAATGATGTTTTCAATGTTCCAACAGCGCAGTGCCGCAATTATTATAAAGCGCTTTGGAGAGGAAAAGCAGTGCGCAAGAGCAAGGTCAGCCTACTGCATTACAGCTTTTAAAACCCGACTCTAGCCTACATTGAACATGTTTGGAGCTTTGTTCCCCGCGAATGACCTTTCCTTTCAGAAACCGAACTGGCTTCATTCATGTGTAGTCTACATGAAGCAACATGACGACTTAGCAAAATGGTCTATGCACACACCGAAGTTAAATACATAACTTTTTTTTTCAAATCATAACGCCACACAAGGCAATACAAGCTCGTCCACTAAAACAGTTGTTTTCGTGATGTAGGCCTACATGTATCATGTAACGTGACTGTTTACGCAGTGCCCCCC